AGGCTTACTACGAACTGTTTCTACCACAGTTAAGTAATAGTTAAGGGTGAAAGCGTGACACGTGGTGATAGTATTTCTGATCCATACTTATAATCACTCCTTGCGGGGTAGGCAGAGAATCAACGGATTACTTAATATCGTCTGCGAGGTTATCGCCTATTCTGTGAATTACAATGCACCAAAACGTTTGAAGAAAATCAGCTGGTGAATTTTATGTTTTTTATCGCTCTCTTCCCGGTCCTGCGTGGAAAAATACAGATCCATACATTTTTTATCTTAATTTTGGTAAAAAGACATAATAATCCAGATATTCTGACCTTCTGTGTTCGTCCATCGTACCGTCGTCCGTCTTGTAGAATCACGGTGGCGCCACCTAGCTGAATTTAATTTTGCAACTTTTCCCACGGGAATGATACGTTTTTCCGCTGAAAAACACTCTCACTCTACAGCCACCGAACTATCCCCATACCAAAATTCATGCCATGCTGACGCTCTGTTGCGACGTGAAAGAAGGACAAACTTTTGCAACATATTCTATTTTCCCACGGGAATGAGGCTGTAGAGTGACATAGGCTACTTTTTCCCGCGGAAAAACATCTCATTCCAGTGGGAAAATAGAATATTTCCCACGGGAACGGGAATGAGATGTTTTTCCGCGGAAAAAAGTAGCCTATGTCACTACAGCCACCGAACTATCCGCATACCAAAATTCATGCCATGCCGACGCTCTGTTGAGACGTGAAAGAAGGACAAACTTTTGCAACATATTCTATTTTTCCACGGGAATTAGATGTTTTTCCGCGGAAAAAGTAACCTATGTCACTCTACAACCACCGAACTATCCCCATACAAAAAATCATGCCATGCCGATCCACTGCTGCGACGTGAAAGAAGAACAAACAAACAAACACACTTTCGCATTTATAATATTAGTATGGATATGGATTTATGTCTGAATATCAGTCACTGGGACATATGACATTATGTGAAAGACCTAATTTAAGAAGTGGCGCGTATTTTATACCCCATCATGGCGGTGAAAGTAGTATTACGACTAAACTGAGAGTAGTTTTTAACGCAAGTTCCCTGACGTCGTCAGGTATTTCGTTTAACGAAATACAAGTGGTCGGGCCTGTAGTTCAGGACGACTTGACGTCCATTTTGCTACGATTAAGGCAACATAGATACGTTTTGTCTGCTGATGTGGAGAAAATGTACAGGTGCATAATCGTTCATCCTGATGACATGCACCTTCAGCAGATAGTCTGGCGTAACAGTCCAAGTGAGCCTATACAGACCTTTCAACTAAATACTGTTACGTACGGTACAGCGAGTGCACCATTTCTTGCAACACGCTGCCTTAAACAACTTGGTTTACAGTGCAAAAACAAAGCCATAGTGGACATAATAATGCATGATTTTTGTGTCGATGATCTGCTTACGGGTGCTGATGACTTAGACGACGTAAAAGCCATACCTACGTCAAGGAGTTACCGCAGTATTGGCATCTGCTTGTATGCCACTGCGAAAGTGGAGATCGAATGAACCCGAACTGCTATCAAATATCGCCAATACATCGCTAGACCTAAATATTAGTTCTCGCGAGCCAGACAAGTTATTAGGTCTTGGCTGGCATTCGGATTCAGATCAACTATGCTTTCCATTAAATTCACTAGCTCCCGATGGCAATACTAAGCGTGACTTGCTCTCAGTGATTGCACAAATCTTTGACCCGTTAGGTCTTTTAGCCCCGTATGTAATCACCATGAAAATGTGATTACATACGGGGCGTGTGATTAAATACAAAGGCTGTGGTTAGACAAACTATCATGGGATGAACCACTGTCTTCCGAAATCAAGAGACGCTGGTATGACATTATCAAATCCCTTTCTCATTTAAATAACCTTCGGATTCCACGAGTTATCTGTGAGTCATACGAAGTGCTGCAACTGCATATTTTTACTGACGCATCTGAAAGCGCATATGGTGCGTGCATTTTTTTTCGTTCGATTTGGTACGATTATTAACGGCTAAGAGCCGTGTCAAATCCACGACACCAATCAAACCCACGACAATACCACGACTGGATTTGTGCGATGCGTTGGTAGGAGCTCGTCTTTTTGAGAAAGTAGCAAATTCACTTCGCGTTAAAATTGACCAAGTCTACTTTTGGACAGACTCCACGATTGTTTTGGGGTGGTTGCGAATGTTGCCTTGTAAACTTCAGCCCTTCATACTTAATCGCGTTGCTGAAATTTTTGATAAGGCCAGTGACCATAAATGGGGACACGTCCCAACAGATAAAAAACCAGCAGACTTAATATCTCGTGATGTGGATATTAGTGTTCTGGAAAGTCTCAGATTGTGGTGGGTTGATACAGAATTTTTAATGTTTGACTTATCAAAATGGCCTGCTCAGCCTAAGTATGCTGAAACATTGTCTGAAACGCGTCATGACATTATATTAAATGCAGTCACTACTGATCCAAAAAACAGTGAATGTTTCATTGATTTTAGTCGCTTTACGAATTACTCACGCCTTGTACGTTCCGTGGCTTACGTCTTGCAAAAGACAGCTTATTACTTCGAATTACTTATTATAATTAGAATTACGAATCGCGTTAAATGTTATCATTTCAAAATGCCAATATGATTCCTTTCCAGAGTATAAATTGCTTCTCAATAAACAAACTTTACCTAAGAAAAGCCCACTTCTTAAATTTAATGTATTTTTAGATGAAAATAATGCGTGTTGGTGGTCGTCTTGATAATTCGAATTTTTCATACAATAAAACTCATCCTATATTATTACAGTCCAATCATATATTTTCGGAATTATTATTTGACCATGAACACAAAAGTTTAATGCACTTGCCACAGCAGCGTCTCCTTTCGGGTGGCTTTCCTTTTGAAAGTGTAGGGGTCGATTATGCGGGAACTCTTATGAGCGCTCTGTTATGAGTCTTCAATGGAGACTAGCTATCTGCGTAGGACAGGATTATAGTGCCCAGGTGTATGCGGGGTGCACTATTTATTCCTTCCATAGTCTGATGGGACGGTAAATCGTCACAACCCGAGAGAGATCAGGCGCAAGACCAACGGCTTAATGTGCTTTCCCAGCCACGGCGGTGAATGAAACACCGCCAAATTGCTGACTCCAGGCTGTACCGAAAATGAGAAACCCCATAACTGATTTTTGCCCGAACCGGGATTTTAACTTGGGACTTCATGATCAGACTCAGGTGATTGCGCGGATACTCCACTGCTACTCTCGGGAGTGCACTTGCTAGAAGATATATAACGCGCGACCTTCAGCGAGTGACGGAGCCGAATTAAAAAAATAACACCCTGGTCGAGCCGCCCCATTAATGAAATAACTAAATCTGCTGCCTGCTGCATAGCTCTACCGCGTAAAAGTACTTTGGCTGTATGGTGAAAATATCCAGCTGTACCTATTGTACACATTCCCGCCAGGAAAACTCGCCGCCGTGAGTCGTAACGGAAACTCGGTCTCTCAATAAACAAAGATCAGATCAATTTTATAAAAGGTAACATTTTATTTTGTATTTACATGTGGTATTTGATTTTTAAGTACACATAAATGAAAACTATAGATTACATTAATACTGCTATTCACTAGTAATATACCAAAGTAAATACGAATTACGTTATACTTTTTAAAAAATTTAATATAATATCAGATCTTTTCAAGACTTACAATAATAATTACAATGTGTTGTATTGTTGTACGGCTCAATACCATTGTAACAAAAATATAACTTTATATAAATATTGTACAACTTCTTACAATAATGCCACAAGAGTATTGGTAAATTATCCCAAATTAGTATATTATGTTGTATTAGTACTATGTGTATAAGCTGAGCAAATTTCCTCTACTTCTGGCCAATATCAAGATTGAAATATCCACTATTGTTTCCCTTAATCTAACAGTATTTACAAAATATACTTTATTAGACGATTATAAAAATTTGCAGTGAAAAACTTTTTAATTTCAAATTTGAACAATTGACAAATACATTTTAATGTATACCTATTACACAAAAGAGGCCAATCTGGTGCATTAACCTAAAAATAAAACGAAATTAAGTAACTGAAAACTTTACCATTTCAAGCTAAGCTCGCTGGTTTTTATATTGTCATATGTAAATTATTAATTTATTGTCACAGTAATTAATAATTCCTAGTTTCAAGGGTTAACAGTAATAATAAGGTAAATATAATATAATATATAATAAAAAAGCCAGTCTCATCCATGAGGGTGCGTTTAGGTATTTTGATATGATTCTTTTCAAGTAATCTATATAACTAGTGATCCGCCCCGGCCTCACATGAATGATTTCTGGATCTCAGCAAGTTTTGCGAGACAGCAATTGATTTTTATATACAGAGATAACTTTTTACAAAAATTTAATGTTGTATAAATGGGAACACTTACATGGCAACACAAGCGGCGCGGGCGACTTTCGGGTAACATTAACACCATAAGATCAACAATACCGTCGCTGACAATGTTGCCTACTTTTAAATTTTAGTACAATTTTAAGCAAATTGCAGTTAAAATCATGTATTTGTAAATAACCATATCATTTTTATATTTTTCTTTTTTTTTTTGGAAAATTTTTTACAATACCTAAGCCTCTTTGGAAGCAGACTGGGTTTTCTATACATATTTTTTTATATATACACAAATATAAATGCTCAAGATAAAGAGATAGGTATAACATAAGAAACTAAAAAAACTTTTAAAATAATACTGCTACGTTGCAAGAATACTCCAACATATGAGTGCTCAATATAGTATAAACTTATTCATCTAAACATTCAGTCATTGTCTATATCAACATTCAGTTTTTTCTCAATAGTATTGATTGAATTTTCGCAGTCATCATGGATAACTACAGTTGTAGCACTTATACTTGAAGGACTATGAGAATGGGTGATGTTCGTGCGGTTGCTGTCAGCCAAATGTTCCAACTCATGGCTTTCTAGATTTGGCACACCCGAACAGATTGAACTGATACGTGATATGGACTTTCTTTCTTCTGTAGGAGGATCTTTGTTGGAATTTTTTCCGAGAAGAAGAAGCAGGGAACACAGAAAAAATGTTGCATAAAGCCAGCTGATAGACATGATCAGTGCTAAAAAAAATCCCTATTTGTGAATATGGCAAGAGATTTGATCGCAAGAGGAATATTCCAGCAAATCCTGTGGTCAATGCAGCAGCTGCAGTAGGTCCTGATGATGCTGTTAATGCATATTTGACTCTAGTAGCTTTTGTGCCACTAGCATTTGTATAACTTAATGCATAATGAAGACTAAAATCTACTGCTAACCCTGCAGATGTTGATATCGCTACACTTTCTAATACATTTAATTTCCAATCACTTAACACTAAAATAGCTATAGTAACTGTTGAAGAAAATATCATTGCAATTAATGCACAAATACTGATGACCAAGCTAAAAGTAGCTGGTATAAGAACTATGAACCCTAAGCTAGCAGACAATATTAAAGCCATTACAGTTCCACTTGCTAATGTCTTCTGCAAATCATAAAACTGCAAATCTGATAAAAACCAACCATTTTTCATACCCGGGGGTGCAGACCTCAATTCATGTTGAGTCCAGTTTTCAACTTGCATAAAAAAGTTATTCATTGCAGTATAGGACATTGAATATGGAACTATACTTTCAAATTCCACAACCATTGCTGAAACATTAGGTGGGTTGGCGCTCCTAAGAAATTTAGGTCCAGCAACTCCTGGCATAAAAAGCTCCCTTGGGGTTTGATACAAGGATTCCATTGCTGCTAAAATACAAAAGTTGAAAACATCTTTAGAATATGGAAACTGGGAAGTTTCACAGCAAGGGGTTCTGTTAATTTTATCAATGTTATCAATACAACGTCTACTCATGAACATTCTAAAACTTTCAATAAAACAGTTTGGAAGCAAAGGCCCTAATGTGTGTTGATAAAATGGTTGAACTTTTATTTTTCTACAAAATTCTGAAAGCCACATCTGTGACTTTGGGTCTGAGATGGAAAAATCTGTGTCAAAGACTAAATTCCCAGTTGAGGTGGGATCCATATGATTGCCATTGTCAATTGCTTTGACACCCCAGATCCATCTTAAAGGCATTTTACTACCTGTGCCTAAATCTTTACCAAATCTTTCAAACAGAAATCTATCTCTATATTGTAGGTCATATTTTTCAAAAGGATGAGAAGTCTGAAAAAGTTGAAACTGTTTTGAGTCAGGTAATTGAAGTCCAGGAGTGTAAAAAACTACAACAATACTACAAACTCCTATAGCACCCAATATAACTACAATACCTATGTGTGATTTTGTAATAAAAGTTATTATAAATCTATTTAATATAACTTTGATATCCTCTCCAATTTCATTAATAGCTTTATTAATCACAATACTCCATGTATTTTTAGTAGTTTTCCACATTTTAACCTCTAATACAAATACTGTTGCTGGCAACCAACTTATCATAAGCAAAAAGTTAACTAATACTGATGTACCAGCAAAAACGCTAAAGCAATTTATAGCTGGAATATAACTTACATATGAAGCAAAAAATGCAACTGCAGTTGTCAATGTTGTAATAAACATAGTAACAATTGAATGTCTTAGGGTTTCTTCAAGTATTTGAATTAATATAGTCTCACCTGCACTTGAGACATTCTTAATATCATTGAGTGCATTCTCCTGACTTACATTGTCCCTAATAAGCTGTTTACAAATCATCTTCCAAAGCTTAACATAAAGAAATGCATCATCAGCGCCAATTCCTATCACAACAACTATTACTAATAAATTCATAAATGGAAAGAATTTTAGATTGAATACATAATTATAGAAGAAATATGCTACTCCAAGTGAGTATGATATAGCTATAAACAACAGTATAGTTAATAACAGAGACTTAGTGTAGACCCAGACACATATAAAAACAAAAAGTCCTCCTACGCCTATTAACCATGTATCCTGGATTATCCATAAATCAAATAATGCATTCTTTAGCCCAAAATCTACAGCAGGAATAACAAGTGTGTCATATGACAAATTTGTACTTTGCAATTTCTGGTAATAAGGCAGAACAGTACTGCTGCATGCAAGTGGAAGAAAGATCATTACATTTTTCACGAATTTTTCTGTAAATTGTGGGGGAGCAAAAGCATCCGAATCTATTAAGTAAAATAACAAATTATAAACAGCATCATATTGTGAACAATACTTTGGCACCCTACATTGATTTAATTCACATGATGCCATTAATCTGAAATCATGGAAGTAACTGGCACATTTACTTAAAATTACAATTACATTGTTTACATCCTCTTTCGTAACATTTTCACAAGAACTCTTGCCAGATATTAAAGCTATATAATTTGGCACACTCCATACTGGGCAACAAACATCTTCATTTCGCATAGACCTTTGACACAACTTGTAATAATCCTTACCACCTACTTGGATTAGCAGTGACTGCAATCTACACATTTTTTGAACATTTTTGAATTCCAGTAAGGATGAATTTTCTGCACTCGAAATAACTAAGTGAGCATATTCAGATATTGGAGCTCCACAGACACTAGATGCATAATTGTGATTGATTGACTTGTCAGGGGTCCGCTGCATAGCTTTCAAAGAAACCCATTGCTTTCGTGTATGGTTTTTCAAAATTTCAACATTAACATCTTCATATGAAACATTTTTTCCAAATCCCCAGTGAACATGACCATTGACTGAAAAATTTGTGCTTGAAACATCTGAAGTCTTTTCAAAACCAGTTTTATTATATATTGGTTTTTTCTTTTTGCTACGTTCCTTACTTTTAGGTCGTTCATTTCTGGTTTTTTTTTTATTCTGGATGATTCTTTTGTGGTAAGTACGATTCATACGTTTCTGGTCGTCAATGTCTTTAGGATTAACTGCGAGTCTTTTAGATGGTCTTGTTTCATCGATAAGATTTTCCCATGCAATAAAACGATGAGCTAATGTGGTTCCTCGAGTCTCAAATCCGATAATTGGATCCGAAAATGACGGTATGTCGTGACACACCAGTGGAATCACTGTAAGAACTGTTAAAATAACACTCAAGGCAAACAAATAAAGGTAAGAATGACGGACAATAAATCGGGCATAAATAGTTAACATTTTCGTGTGAAGGTTCCGTTGGACTCATAGTTATTTTTCTAGATCATTCTTTTAGTTAAGTTGAAAGTAACCTTTTATCAAAAATAAACTTAAAAAAGTTTAACAATTAAAAGCTACCTACATTTTAGTTATTTCAACAGAAGATAAGAAATCATTAGTAACAATAACAAACAACAATACCATAGATTACTGACTATGTCTATTGTCTATGTGCCATGCATGAACAATGCCTTTATTAGTTAGGCCCCGAGTTCCCGGCGCCCCTTTAATGGGGCAGGCGTGTGAAAAATCTCCGCAAGGAAAACCGGCGACGAGGTTCGCCACCCGTCACGTTAGGTTTCCCGGAGGGGTGAAAATTGGATTTTAGAAGCCCGTCTGTCTACACTGAATGTATTTGGAGCAATGAATGATAAAATGAATTATATAATTATAAGGCAGAAGTTGCAATTAAAAATCTTTCATTAAAAAAGATATTCCAATACAATCTGGTCTATGCTGTCATTATTTCATCTGATCTCTATATGCTTACCTGTTTGTCATACTTTTTTCACTACATGGATTAAAAGATGTACAGATAAAAAATAAAGAAAATGTTAAACAAAATAATGTATTAAACGTGACGTATAAACGTTTCTCTATCTAGTCTGTGGCCTTTATCCCCATATAACGTAGACAGAGAAACTGTCTGCGCCATACCGTAGACAGAGAAACCTATAGACAAATTGACGCCTTCTTTCGGATTCGCACATGAAAAAGATAGATTTATGCAAACGTCTTGCATAGAAATGAGATAGAGCGGTGTGATTGTTTGTCCCTTTCTCCGTGCCGGTTTTTTTGTTTAGCAAACTACACTTTGCTAAACAACTGACAGTTCGTAGTGATCTAAGGAGTTTACAAGTTGGTTTAAGTGAGAAAAAAGTGTTTTGTGAGCTTAAGATTAGTGAATCTTGTTCAGTTCAGTTCTTAGAACAATTAAAATTTTTATCTAAATATGTTTAAAAGTCATAAAGATTATTGTATAACCTAAAACTACGTTATCGTCCTTTCTCACTCTAGGCCACGCTAATCATTAGTCTATAGGTTTCTCTGTCTACGCCATACAATAACATTGACAATAGACCATAGATTATATTTGAAAATATAGATCATGGAGGTTAGAGAGAGAACGATCGCTGTAGAAAATAGTGTCCTATAAATATGGACAAAATAAGTGAGTCACTGCGGTCGCTAAGTTGTCTCAATAAAAGCTTTGAGTTTAGGAGGCGGAATCGCAAGGCATACCCCTCTGTAAAAGGTACGAGAGTCCGACTCATGCCCGTTATATAAAACGAGTTGCTTCGCGTCGTGCACCATACCGCAAGTGATCGTGCCAGTAAATCGAACTCCGACAAAATGCGGAATTGCAGTGTATTTACATACAAAAAACAATCAAAAACGCCAAATCTACAAAAGAACAACGTGCCTTTTCATCTGTGAGTATTTTTAAAATATTATAAAAAAATTATCATTAAAACTCGTACTTTCTGAATACTTTCGTCAAATACCGAGTGTTGCCGTAATAGTTCATAAAGTGAAAAATAATCTATTTTTAAATAAATATAATTTACTACACAAGCTAAATATATCAACGGAAATGTATTTCCTAATAACTAAATCAGTTTGTGATGAATAATAATCATTACATATGGATGTGTAGTGGATCTTGTTAAAAGATTTATATATTCAGCTCAATTTTAACACGATTCTGAATATTATATAATTTAATATAGTCGATAACTAGTATTTACCAAAATATTACACAAAATAAAGGCCAAATAAGTCAAATCGAAACTTGCTACCTCGCAGTAAAATTGTGCAATTTTTGTAAAAATATACTGGTATCACTGCAACCGAAAGTATTGCACTATAGTGATGTAAGCCACATGCAAGCTATTGATAAGTTAAATAACCATGCGGATTTGTCTGCCGAACAGGTTTGTAGTTTTTATTTAGATTTAATAATAAAGTATTAAAAAAGTAGTAAAATTTCTATTATTAGTTTGTTTTTATTATATATATATATATATATATTATATAAATATATATATATATATAATATGTATATATATATATATATATATATATATATATATATATATATAGCTTGAATCCATTAACTTACATAAGTAAATTAATGATTTCTTATATTTACGCGAACATTGCACATGATTAAAACTACTTTTACGGATTTTATCGCGTTTATTTTTAATTCCCGACGTTTCGGGCGCTTTCCAGCACCCATGGTCACGGGGGACTGAGATGACTGACGTCCCGATGTCATTGTTAAACCCGGAGTACCTTCAGCTTTTTTAATTATTGTTTATGGTCCGATCTATGCAAAATGAACTGACTATGGCCTGAGGTCTTGCAGTGGTATGCTTGGGTTTAGTTTTAATTTTATTGATTATAGGATCCCAAGCAGGTGGTAGTACCCAGCCTCCTTCTCTATTGAAATTAGGATGTTTTTTAATTTCAATAGCCTCACGTATCATCCTTGGTAGGAATCGGTGTTCTTTCGCGAGGATTTGTGGTCTATCAAATCTGTCAAATCTGATCAACCATTACATCAGATTTGTGCCACAAATCCTCGCGAAAGAACACCGATTCCTACCAAGGATGATACGTGAGGCTATTGAAATTAAAAAACATCCTAATTTCAATAGAGAAGGAGGCTGGGTACTACCACCTGCTTGGGATCCTATAATCAATAAAATTAAAACTAAACCCAAGCATACCACTGCAAGACCTCGGCCATAGTCCACATAGATCGGACCATAAACAAAATTAAAAAAGCGAGTTGACATCCTCACCAGCCCCCACCACTCGAAAGCGCCCGAAACGTCGGGAATTAAAAAATAAAAATAAAAGTTAAAATAAACGCGATAAAATCCGTAAAAGTAGTTTTAATCATAAGTAAATTATTTATTTTAGGCAGATCGAAGTGATTGTACAACATCGTCTACATCGAAAAAATGAAAGCTGGATGTTCCGGAAAATTGGGAAATTCTATTAGGTGTCCCGAAAGAAAATTCCTTATATAGCCCTAACTATGCCTACTGCCACTGCAAGTACTAGCCAACACTTAGAAGATACGCCAAGGAAAATTAAACTCAAATTCCTTGAAATAAAAAACAATAGTATAAAAAGGCTTCAATCGCAGAAACGGTATTTAAAGAAAAAAGTTACAAGTATGCCAGAAATACTAGATTTGCTGACAGAGACTTCTTTGTTTTCATAAATAAAGAAAACAAACAGGTCCTAGAAAGGAAAGAAATTGAAGAAAGTGAACTCTTAAAAAGACAATTACTTAAAAATAAGACTGGAAAACCGGCCAGAACTAAAGATTTCCCAAAGTTAGGATGTTTTGCCCTAACACTTAATTATTACTCGCCAAAAGCCTATCGCTATGTACGAAAAACTTTTGGAAAAGGAATTTTTTTATTAGCATTATTCTCCGTTCTCAATTTTAATGCCGTCAGCGCTTCTTGAGTAATCCCTGGTCGACCATCAATTGTACTATTTCACTTCGTTATAGAACGTGATGAAGGCATACAAATTTCAAAACTTTTGATATTTCGCACATATCGTTAAGCTTTCGGTGAATAGTAATGTAAAGTTAAAGCAAAGCATCTTACTGGGAAATTCTTAGCTCTAGGTAGATGTCACGTTTTATTTTTAAGCAGCTATCTGTTTAAAGTTCACTTTGTTCATCTTTTATATTTTGTCAAACTTCTTTATTTTCCAAACGTATTAAACATTTTCCAGATAGTTCATTTAACAACTTAAAAATCAACAACTTTTTTTAAGCAGCGGTTTTGTGATTGAAGCCTTATAATAAAAACAAAAACTTGGTTAACACCATCTAAGACGCTAAACTGATACTTTTCTTTTTACAGATCTGATTTTTAAAATAAGTTAACTAAACCTCCCATTTCGTTTTAATTTTTATCCTACATAATGTAAAATAAACCTGTAGCAAAATAATAAACTTACTTTCGATAATTTCAAAGTTTTTTTTCCGAAGATCATTTTTAAATATTTTAAAAAAAGAATTGCAAATAACGCCTTGGTATTATTTATCTATATATTACCTATAATCAAATAAAACATATGCGGATTATGGTGATTTGTTTATCGATAAAAAATATCGATATAGTCCACGCCCTACAATGCTTACACATGTGGACTGCGGCACCGGTGTATCGGCACGTGTATAATTGCCAACATAAGTCTTGAGCACACTTTTTATTGGTCGATACGACATTGATCACGTTGACGTTCAACGTGATTGGTTCATCAGTCGATTCTTGTCGTCTATTGGTTTCGAACGTATCATTCGGCTTCCGTACACTTCAGAGCAATAATTTTAGTGATAACTTTTTTAATTATTTCATTTTCGTTAATTGTTTTTGTTACTTCGTTGTTAATTATTGTTTGTGTATTCCTTCTTATTAATTGTTTTTGTTATTTCTTGTTTTTAATTATTTTTGTTGTTATAATTTGAGTGTTCAGATTTTGGTCTAAATATGCAGAGAAGGAAGAATTCGGTGTTAAATAGAAAATCCCGACAAATGGTCTATTAAGTGTTTAGTTACATGAAAAAATTAGGTATTGTGAAAAACATCATAGACGTATTTAAACAGACTGCTGAGGCAACTAATGTGTCAGTAGCTACTGTACGGCACACTGCAACACCAGATTTTATGAAAGGCACCTCTTCCTTCTTCTTAATAAAATAATCAATTCTAACCACCATTGGCATGCGATTACTACCACCACCACCAGGTATACATTAAATACTTTATAGTAGATAATAAAATAACGGACACGAATATCTGCAACATTACTGTATCAAAGTAAACGTTGATGTGTTCGAGTAAACATTTTCATAAAAGTCAATAATTTTACCTGACAGTGTACCTACCTCCCACCACAGTTTATCTCTGCACACGACTCGTGTC